AGTGGTCAAGACATACTTGGAAACGTTGAAATGGGAAGTCCTACCCCACCCGCCGTATTCTCCAGACGTTGCTCCCTCTGACTATCATCTTGTTTCGATCAATGGCACACGGCCTGGCTGACCAGCATTTCCGGTCTTATGAAGAAGTAAAAAATTGGATCGATTCGTGGATAGCCTCAAAAGATGACCAATTTTTTCGACGCGGAATTCGTACGCTGCCTGAAAGATGGAAGAAAGTAGTGGCCAGCGATGGACAATACTTTGAATCATAAATGTATAACCAGTTTTTTACAATAAAGCTTCGAATTTCGGAAAAAAACGGCGGAAGCAAAGTTGTACAACTAACAAGTTACTATCACAAGTTACTTTTTCGGTAACGAATGGGTAATAATGTTATAGTTGCTTCTGAGTAACGTTCATGATAATGCAATTACATTTTTAGTAACAGTAACGATTTTACTAGTTACTTTTATCATTAGTTTATTTCTACCTATATAAAAATTTAATCGTAATATATAACCCTAGAAAACAGAGATAAAACATTAACGGTTTGATTGGCTGTCTAAATCGCGACCTTTTTTTCATTGTATTCACAGTTATTTTTCACAGTTATTATTCACAATTCACACGTATAGACTAATTCAAATATAATTTTTACAGTATATTTAGTTTCTTAAAATAAAATTTTTTCTGTGTCATATCTCATAAACTAAATATATGTATATAATGTAGATTATAAACAATACCATTTTTTTAAGTATAATATAATTTTGATGCCAACTATTCAATATCACAATGAAGTTTCTTAGCTTCATCCCAGGTCAGAAGGAAACAAGAATTCTTATAAAGTGAAGTTATAATAAGAATGAGAATGTCACAGATATATTTGAAATTATTTTTTTTTTTAAGAATCGACAAGAAAAAAGCAGATTGACACTCACCGAATTGATGCAATTTGTGCGTACACATACAGTAATCAACCAGTAGAATATAATATTAATTTCAACAGATGAAGTAACAAAAGTGATCCAAATAATTTTTTCATCAAATGAAAAAAAAATGTAACAGTTCATTCTTCGGTTACATGCAAATAACAAATGTCTCGATTACAGACAAATAACAAATATCACAGTCGATACAAGCGCTGATCCGAAACGATCGAAAGCATAATTGTAAATATTAATTTCAAATAGTATTCAGAACTGACATAGGCATGTTGCAAAAACAAATTTAGTCACATGAAAGATCTTTATATCAAGATTATTAAAATTAGAGCTTAATGATACATACAATTCAAGGATACATATTTTTAACTTGTCGCGTAACATATCTCGATGTCTTCCATTAAGTGTTTGTAACATTTTTTTTCACAAGCAAGAAAAGAGCTTACTTTCTATACTAAAGAAAAAGATAGATTATAAAAAAAATGGATTGGTTACTTCACAAACATAAAAAACAAAAGTATAAGAATATTCAACACATCAATTATTATGTAATAATACCTCACATGTACCTCAAGCTGACTATCAAAATCCTTCGACACAACAATATATAATAGTTTTTCTCTTAGTCCGATAAAAAAATAATTCCATTGATTACATGTCTAATATAAAAATCATTCTTAATCTTTTTTCTTTTGTAAAAAAATACTGTCTTTTCCTCATTAAAATCTGTGAAGGATAAGTAGTTAATCAATTTGTTTTCTGTCCAGATTCCTAAAAAGTACAACTTTTGTTACTTAGGTGAAAATTTTTCATTATCTTTCATCAATAAAAAGGAGATGATTTGTATTTATAAAAAACATTGAATCTAACATTAAAAGATTTTCTAAAAACATTCAAACAAACATCAGAAATTTTTCTATTTCTGTTATTAATAATCTTTCTCTAATTTTTCTTTACAAAAATTGTATTGATGGCTTGTTGATTGGCTTATTTTCCTTCAATAGACGTTTTTTAAGAAACAATTCGAATCTAATTGTTACGAAAGCCGACAAGGGCAACATTTCATTTTATTAGATAAAGATTCATCACATAAACAAAAAATTAACGAAATGCTCAGCGACAAAGACATATACACTTTTTAGTTAACAAACATCCGACTAAAAAAAAGACCAACAAACTTAAAGAGTTACTGACAAGATAGTAAAGATCGAACTACACCTCGGAATCTACGTATAAATCAGTTTTTTGATGGTGTTCTTCCGAGAGTTTATGGTGTCCCAAAGGTACATACAAAATGAATTGTCCGTTTAGAATAATTGTATCGTCTATTGACACTCCACTTTATACATTTGCAACGTGTTTATACAAATTAATTGTCAAAAGCATCACAACCGTGAAGCCACATCAATAATTATGATTTTGTCAACAAGTTAAAAAGTTTATACATTGATAGTAATTTAATTTAGTTAGATATGGTTTTGCTTTTCACTAATATTTACTGAACTTGGCCATTAAGAGCATTGAGAAGAGATAGAATTTTATCTCAGAATATTGCAATGCTCCCAAGGATGAATTTTTGTTGGCAGTTCAATTCGTCCTTGAGTCTACTTTTTTTATGTTTGATGGTCGAATTTATAAGCAGAATTTTGGGACATCTGTGGGCTCTTCCATTATCGCCGGTTATCACTGATATAGTAATGGCTGATCTTGAAGAAAATATACTTGATAACTTGGTTTTCCGATTAAGTTTTATTATCGTTACATTGACGATATTGTCAGCAGCGATTCCTAATACACAAATCGATAATTTTTAAAATATATTTAACTCTGTATATCCAAGGCTACAGTTCACAATAGAAATAGATGATAACAAAATTAATTTTCTTGACACAACTATTTTAATTCATACGAAAGATTAGTATTTGACTGACTATCAAAAACCGACTTCTTCAGGTAGATATCTAAATTTTTTATTTTACAGACGTTCTCTTTCGTAGAAAAAAGGCGTAATCATAGGTATAGTCAACAAAGTGTTCTTTCTAATCCAAAAAAATTTTGAACTTATCATCAATATTTTGTTAAACAATGATTATCCTCTTGAATTTATTTTTAATACTGTGTCTCAAAAAAATAAAATGTTTTATAAAAAATAGTAACATGATAAACAAAGGTAATAAAAAGAATGTGACATCTAACAATAAAATTGGTTTACGATCCCCTTTATTAACAATATTTCAGATAAATTCAAGAAAATTATTAATAATATGGTATTCAAAATTGCATTTTAGTATTAATAAATTTCGCAGTCTAATCAAAGTGCAGAAAGATCCTTTATTAACCAATGCAGAGAAACGTCGTATATAAGATTGCCTACAAAGACTGTAAGGTTTCTTATGTAGGACAAACTAGTCGTCATATGTGCATTTTAGAACATCGAAATCACATTAGAAGAAATACGTCTTCTCATTTGGTCATTACAGATTACAAATTGTAATTTGACCATGAATTCGATTGGAACAAAGTTTTGGATATAGAAAAAAATTATAACAAAAGATTAACGTCTGAAATACATACAAAAACACAAAAAAGGAGTTTAACCCTCCAAACAAATACTGAATTTTTAGACTATGTCTATTCGTCAATTCTGAATATTATTTGAAATTAATGTTTATAATTATGCTTCCGATCGTTCCGGATCAGCGCTTGTATCGACTGTGACATTTGTTATTTGTCTGCGTGTAACCGAAGAGTGTTACATTCTATTCTTTTCATTTGACGAAAAAATTATTTAGATTCTCTTATTATTTCATCTGATTATTAAAATTAATATTATTGTATATTCTACTGGTTGATTGACTAGTGTATGCTATATGTATGGTATGCACAAAATGATATATCAATTTGGTGAGTGTCGATCTTTCTTCTTGTCGATTCTTTTTTAAAAAAATAATTTCACATATACCTGTGACATTCTCATTCTTATTATAGCTTCACTTTATAAGAATTCTTGTTTCTTTCTGGCCTGTAAACTAGGATGAAGCTAAGGAATCTCATTGTGATGTTGGATGATTGGCACCATAGTTGATACATTGTACTACTACATGTATTATTTGTACAACTAAATTAGAATTATATTGATACCGTTAAGAATAACTTGAAGTAAGTTGAAATGCGTACGGATTTTATATCAAACCTTTTATACCAAATTTTATACCAAAACTTTTATATTGTTATATTTTATATTAAAAATGGACATATAAACATTTCCATTATTATATTTGCGCAACGATTACTGCGCTGACTTCTACTTCCTCTTACATTTTAGCCTTTATATTGTTAAATATAATTTTAAGTATAGTGTTAAATATAATTTTACTCTTAGAGTATTCACGATAAGTCATTTGTATCTTGTTCCTTTTCTTCGAAATACTGCACCTGGCTAAATAATTCTTTCCATCCTTTCCTTTTTTTTAAATATACAATTTTGTAAATGTTTTTAAAGATATTAAAATACATATAAGGATCTATTCATAATTTTTGCAAAAATTATGAAAATTAATCCACACACAAATGATCCATCATGCACAATAAAAGAAATTATATATATATTAAGAATTAAACGTATAATTTAAAAATATCTTATTAAAGTAATACAAAAAATAAATTTATTTAAGTATAAAAATTATAAAAAATGCAATATATATTATGTGATATGACAGCATCTATTTCATTCATGAAACTAACGCACAATATTTACTATATTAGGCATATATTTTTTAAGCTCTATTTCCTCTACTAAAAAATAGCATTTTGACATTTTTTTTACATTAATCGCAAAAATTGTCAAGAAAAAAAGGTAAAGTAAAAAAATAACTATTCGTTATATTTTGAATAACGGAAACGAGTTACTTTTGCAAATTAATAACGAGTAATGGGAACGAGTTATTTTTATGAAGTAATGTTGCCAGCCCTGTTTTTTGTTTTATAAAGCAAGTCTCGCGCATTCAAGAATTAAGTTAATTTTATATAAAAAATAGATCGATTTATTTTTCTTACCCTTCATAGCCGGCGTCATGTACCATGTTTTTGCACAAGATCTACTGGTAAACTGTCCCAAGAGTCCCTCCAGAAGATAAAACGGTTTCCCGACCAAGATCAGGACTGTGATATAGGGTATTAGGAAGGCACCACCGCCGTTCTCATACGCAGTGAATGGAAACCTCCATACATTTCCCAATCCGACAGAAGTGGCTATACAGGCCATCAGAAACTCCAGTCTACCACCCCATTCCGCCTCCTTACTAAACGTCTAATAATCAAAGATTTATTTTGTATAATTAATTATTTTGTATAATTAATGTTATATTTCTGTTGATTTGACGTGATAATGTATATAATACGTACTGAACTTTCAGACTGCTCCTGCTGTTTATCGAGCTGTGGCATTGTCGCATAATCAAGTGGAATATTTCCGTAAAAATCTGGTTTTGAAGAGTAAAAATCGTCCAGTTGAAAAACCTCGTTAGTATAGTCATTTTGTCTCTAAAAAAATGGTTTGCAAATAAAATTAACAGTAAATTGTCAGGATTTTATGTGTTTTTCATTCTAGAAAGCTTTACATAAATGCCGTCTTCTATCCTTTCCATTTTAGTCATTGTGTCGCATAGAAAATGTGAGTCGCGAAAAAGTAAAAATTAATCTTCAAACTTTTCGTTTTTAATGTAATGTTAATTGCCGCGTGCGAAAAATTGCTCAAAACGTTTTTTTATCAATGAATATCGAAATCAGAATCCTATGGCAATCACTCTCGTAGGGGAGCAATATCTTTATCTTATCTTCACTCGCGGATATGCTTTGCATTAGAATATTAAATCAAGGTAGCGTTTTTACAATATTTTAAACGATGATCACGGTTCTCTTCTTTGCATTTTACATAATATTTTCATGAGATTTTATAATTTAGTTTGTAAAACCAAATGTTCTGTAAGTTGATAGACAAAGTATTAATACTTCACACGTAGCAGTCATTTGTGAATTCTAACTTGGCGCACAGATTTCTCTTTTAGAATATCATTAATTCAAAGTTTTCATTCAACGGAGAAAACCGAACGGAGTCTGCGAAGATACTGAATGACTGAAAATTTCCTTGCCCCGCTGTGAAGATAACGTCTCATACGGAAGCGTTCGGGATAATTTTACCGAGGGCACCGTCGCGTTTGCAAATACCGATGAAAGACAAAGATACTGGTGCACTCCTTGTATTCACATCACTTGAGGATACGACTCTGCTCGCGATCTCGAGATCTATGCCACTCGTTAGCCACTGATTGATCAACAAATCTAGCGGTAAATCTATCCTTCGATTAGATTATCAGTTTTCCAATCTGCACATGCATCACGTGCTCCACCTTTCATTTTTTCTACCTAATGTAACGATTGCGGTAAACTAGCATTTTTTAAGTTCTTAGATATATTTACAGTAAGGATCTTCTGTGGTATACATGAACTCAACATCCAAGTATCAATAAGATTTTTCCGCGCCCGAAAATAATTCCTAGGTTAGTTTTATTTAAATTCACCCATTCTCTTAAACTGAATAAGAGATCCGACGCCTTTAAAACTGTATAATATAATAGAATTATAATTGTAATACACAATACATATGCATATACGCATATATATAAAATTCTTTAGATCCAATAACTCTTAAGCTGAAAAATTATTGTTAAAAATGGATAAATAATTTTAAAAATATCAACTTTTGAAAAGTAGTACCAAATTTTTGGCCTGAAGTGTTAAAATTATATTATTAAATTTTATATTATTAAAGTGATTCTTTAAAACAGTTTCTTTAAAACAGTCTCAAAATGAGTTAGATAGAATAAAAATGCCATATGTATCATAGAAATGTCTAATTTTTTATATAATAAAGTACGAAATTAACGTGTGTAAAAATCTATGATAGGTTAATGATGAAATAAGAAAGAAAAAAATGTTGAAAATACCTTTCACGTATAACTTAGTAATAGATAAGGCTCGCAGATGCTTCTTTGATTAACTGCACACAAATCTTGTGTGCAGACTTTTCTCAAAAACGAGATTATAATAGTTTAAAAATGACAATTTTGGTCACAATAGTCATAAAAAGTAATAGGTCAATGAGCATTCCGGAGAAATATTTACATGCATATATTTGCATATAAATTTAACTTCAAAAAGTAAACATAATCTCATCTTGTTTTCATTTGATGAAGCAGCTTTTGATTTATTATGTGTTCCACTATTTCATAAAAATATATACGTAGTTTTGATATTTTATCCGAATTATGCAAGTATTTATAATTTTGGGTGCGCTCTGGTACTCTAAATTTCCGGTATTTTATTAAACCACATTAAAATTGCTTTTTTTCTTAACAAATGAAAAATGAAAAAAAGTGTGCGAAAATTGGATTTAGATACTTTGAAAATTTCTCGAGTATGAAAAATTTTACATCAGTTTTCCAACTCCCGTGTAATTTCTTATTATTCTAATTATGTTTGAGAGAAATATTTGACACTAATATACATTGTTAGATAAAAATGTGTCGAATTTAATATAAAACAATGTACGCATATCTTAAATCATTCACATTTTTTAAATTAATTTAACATGAGATAAATATGTATATTAGAAGATTACTCAAATATATTATGTAAAAGAATAAATACGCAAAAGGTAATAATGACACAGTTTGTAAATAAACCATTGAAATAAACCATATTTTTTTCAACAAAATTAACATTAAGATAAATTAATATTAAAATAAGTTATATCAATCCATATTTTATTCATTCATCTTAAAATTTATGTTTTAAAATATTATTGTTACTTATTCACTTACTTCTTAAATTGTGTAATTTTGATATTAAGAAATATTGATTAATTGAGAAGCTGGATTTTATAAGGGGATGTGCGTGGATTTCGCGAGATAAAAGTATTGTTCGCACGGCTAATTTTGCAAACATCGCTTTAATTTCGATTTTGACGATTGATTCTTGTAGAGACTTTTTTAAACAAAATTTGTAACATTTTTGTTTTCAAGTTATAAACGAAAAAAGTAATTTATAAAATAAAAAAATTCCATTATATTTTTATGCTCAATTCGCCATATCTTAGCCAAAATATGAATATTTTTCTTTGAAATTTTAAGGTAGTACTAGCATGAATAATTTTCTTATGAATGTGCTAAAATTTTAAGGGTAAGTTGAAATGCTCTCTATGTTGTGTGTAATTAAAAATATATTGACCATCTAATTTTTGAAATAATTAAAATTAAAATGTGCAGTTTTAACATATAGTATGTATATACGTAACTCAAGTTAACGTTAGATTACGTTAGATTTCTAATTATAGCATCCATATCATTTTAAAAATTGTTACAAAAACGAGCACATAATGGAGGAACATAAAATATCGTAAAAAAAGATCATAATTTTACCGTTTAATTAGGAAAATAGAATTGCGAAAAGAACAATGTTTCGATTTTCTTTGGCGAGTGAAAGGAGTGATGGGGAATAGAGGGACAGCCAGCGAGCATCTGGCAACATCGGCATTAGTAGTTTCTATCTATTCATTTTATTTCCGCGTGTGCGTGTGGCCTTAGATTGGACAGACACAAGCGAAAGTTTTTTTTTCTCTGCGGGAGTGAGATATCGCCATCGAGCGCCGCGACGATACCTAAACTTGGGGACGGTATTGTCGCGCTAATTACCTTATAATAGAATAAATTTCAATGTTTCTTGAAATAGGACATATATAAAAAATTTTCGGAACATTTCATTCGAAACTGAATGCTGAATTTCAAAACATTCCTCTTAATTTCATAGTTTTATTCATTCGATTATAAAAGTTGTACAAATTTTTGAATTATCAACACTACTTTTATCTATACTACAATTTTGTTTATTTATAGTTAAAGAAGTTTTGAATAAATTTGCAAATTTGGAATCTTCGATTTTGTTATCAAGTACACTATTGTATTTCGATGCATTGATTATAAATATAATCATGAAAATTATCGACAATTTTACCGACAAATGTCATTTTCAATATCAAATTTGGAAAACCGACCTTTTTAACATTGATCTTAGTAATTTTCATCTCAGTAATTTTCATAGTCATATACAGTAAGTGCAAAAAATATTCGTACAAGGAAATTTTTTATAAAAAAAAATTTTATTTGTAGAAAATAAACATAATAAATTTAATAGATTCAAAAGTAAAGATGTCAAAATTTCATTCTATAGTATGAATAAATTAAAAAAATTTATTAGAGTTCACAAAGATTCTCTTTCACATTTCGCAAAAAATAATGTAGTATATAAAATTAGTTGTAAAGAATGTGATGTTTCCTATGCCGGACAGATGAGCAGATAATTAAAAACAAGGATATAGCTGAACATAAAAACTATATAAACATCTCTACTTGTTCTTGTTCATAGAATGCAGTATAATCGAATTTGATTGGAACAACGTTAAAATATTAGATTATTACATTACAAATAAATAAAATAAAACAAACACATGTATGAAATTCAAATCTTCTAACTTGAAAACAAAATCATTTTCAGTGAAAAATACAATATATATGGTTCTTAATAATAAGATAACAATTATGATAATAATTAAGGTAACGAGTTATTTTTTCGTTTCTGCGAATCAATAAATAATGAGTATGTTAACAATTACCTTTAAAAACTGATTTCTAACTATCGGTGTAATCAAAAATCATAACGTCATTATTACTAAATTGTAATTATAAAAAAATAAGGAATACATAACAGTAATGTAATATTACAAGTAACATCCATCTCTGATTTAAATGATAATTTTCCAGATAACGTGTTAATGACATGTGCAAAAGAAACGATAGAGACTCTAGAAAAATTATGATCATTTGGCAAATCTTAGCAATATCTTAGAGAAGGCCTGCAACCGAGTTGTACATTTTGATCAATTTTACCTATCGTCGTCCCCATTCCTTTTGTTTCATAGCATTTAGAATTTAAATTGTGCACGAAGACATAAAACGCTTGATCTCAGGGATAGAGTCGTAACATACAGGGCATTATAGGGCTGTAGACAAGACTTTGCTTACAAAACATATTGCCTTACATTCACTGTTCACAAATTTTTGTTATTATTATTATTATTATTATTATTATTATGATATTAGAAACTCAAAAGTAACACTTCAAAATAGAATACATATATTAATTAAGTTTGCATACTGAAAAAAAATATCAAACAAATCATTTTTAATAAATAAATTAATAAAATAATGTGTGTGTGTGTGTGTGTGTGTGTGTGTGTGTGTGTGTGTGTGCGCGCGCGTGTGTGTGCGTGTGCGTGCGGGCTTGTATGCGTGTTTAAATTTAACGCCAATAGATTTTCACATTCCCCTACTATATTATTGCACACATATTTTATTTTATTGATTTTATTTATTAAAAATGATTTTTTTGATATCTTTTTCAGTATGCAAACTTAATTAACATACCTGTTCTATTTAAAATTATGGTTAACGATTGCGGCCGCATCTGCATTTTCGAATATCTGAAATACAATATGGATTCGGATATTCGAATCCATTATATCTGCGCGCGCGGTTTTTAA